AAACTGGGCTCAAGTGACCCCAGCCAGGTAGGCATCGAGCCGCTTCTTAAGGACCCCCAGGGCAGGAGCCAGCACCACTTCCCTTGGAAGTTGGTTCCAGATCCTAGCTGCCCTGACTGTGAAGTAGTTCTTACAACTGTGTCTGGCTTGGGTAGAGTTTGGCCATAAGCGCCTGGAGCTCTGCAGGGGGGCTCAGATTTGCAGCAGTGGGGAAGGTGCTGTTGCATGTCTGTCTGTCCCTGAACTTCTTCTGCAGCAAAGGAAGGCACCACTGCATGTCTGTGTCCATCTTGCCCCATGCTTCGCCTGCAACAAAGGCTGTGCAGGGATCCAGTGACCGTGGGCACAGCCCCCGGCCTTGCCCTTACCTCTGCAGGCCTCAACACAGCCAGCGGTGCCTGCACAGGCATCGCTCGACACAGGCTGTTCAGAGACCCCCTGAGATGGGGAGTGGACAGGGATAATGAAGAGGACAGAGACACAACTGGACCTGGAGACAGCGACCATGACAGCAGCAGTTTCAGCAGCAGCAGAAACAACAGTGACAGTGAATGAACTGGAAATGTAAACCCCCAAATTAGGGGGAGACTGAGACTGGGTTAGGGAAAGGACTTATAAAGCTCAGGGTTGAGGCCAGGCTGGCAGTTCCCTGCCAGCAGCCAGAGAGGCAGGAGGTCCTGCAGTTAGGATGTGGGGAGAAGCCTAACAGCAAGTAGGGCTGTGACATGGAGCAATGTTGTTATAGCCATAGGGCGTGTGTTGAGTTATAGCCAGGAGGCTTGAGTTTGTTTGGTTGTGAGACTATACCGGTGGTTTGGGTGCGGCTATAGGGGTTGGAGGAGGCCTCATAGGGACCCACAGGGGGTGGGACCCTGGTGCCAGTGAGGGCGCAGCATTCTAAGGGGGAACCCCAGTGGTATGGGAACCCCGGTGCCAGTCAGGGTGCAATTTGTGGGGTGCATAGACCCCAGCCCCAGAGAAGGGCGGCTTTGAGAAGCCCCATCGCAGGCACGACGAGCCCCAGAGAGGAGGCAGTGTTATGAAGAAGCCCAGTAGGGGCACAGCAAGCCCTTGAGAGGGGGCAATATTATTAGGAAGCCCAGTGTGGGTGCAGCGAGCCTCTGAAGAAGGGCTAGTGCTGCGACAAACCCTGGAGCAGGGTGAAGTGCTGCGGTTGCCCCTGGCGAGAGAGGGTAGTGGCACGGTGGGCCCTGGGAGAGGGGGGCAGCAGCACGGTGGGCCCAAGAGTCGGGGGGCGTCACTGAGAAGTCCCCAGAGTGGGCGCAGAGAGCCCCAGACGGGGGGCGGTATTTTAGAAGCCCGAGTTCGGGCAACATTGTGGGGAAAGCCCCAGGAGGCGGCACCTTTGTAAAGGCCCCAGACAGGGAGCGACACTATAGAGAAGGCCCCAGAAAGGGGCAACATTACAGGGAGGCCCTGAGTGGGCTCGGAGAGCCCAAGAGAGGGCAATACAGCAGGGGAGGCCCCAGAGAGCGGGCGAGAGTACGTAGAGGAGGCCCGAGAGATGGGCAGTATATATAGAGAGAGACATACCAGCGTCTATCCCATCAGCGAGGCTTGGGGCGTGGTATTAGGGGTTGGTAGGAGCCACGCGTAGCCCATAAGGCTAGGGTGCCTGGGGAGCACCCATCATACCGGGAGACCCCCAGGGGGTCTGGGGACAGAGGTCCCAGCTAACTGCTGCATTCCTCCACCCTTGCATCCCTGCCTCTCCCCCCGCTCTGGGACCCTCTTTCCTTGACGTCACCTCCTTCTTGTCTTGGATCTGGGCCTTGATGATGGTGTCTTGGATGCGGGCCTGGAAGGCATAGACAGCCGAGTTGGCATCCATGGGGAAGGTGAAGATAGCCTCCACAGGGTCCGATTCCTCATTCTTGTACAGCAGCTCAGAGCTCACATCGGCCACGAAGCTCTGGATGCACGCGTCCACCGCAACACGGCGCAGCGGCACTGGAGCCAGGGAGAGGCTTTGTCAGCTACAAGGCCTCCTGCCCTTGACCTCCACGGACACTGCATGCTCACATTAGCAGCGGGGACCCAGGCCTCATGTCTCCCGACTGACACTTTGGGGAGGAACCCACTTGGACATCAAGCCCCCTTGGCTACTGGGGACGCGGGGCACGCTAGCCACAGGCCCTCTAGCCACATAGGACTCAAGGGTGCTGGGGGAGAGGCTACCTTAGCCCTGGAGCTTTCCACTTTAGCAGGGGAGCTATATATCAACTATGGCAATTGCACCCATGGACCCCATTAAGGTGCCTCAATGGTCTAAGGTGCCCCAAAAGTTGCTGCGGCCTCAGGACTGACTTGACCCCAGTGGACCGCAAGTGGAGGGGCCAGGTGAGCAACCGGAGTTCCTCATCCTAGGGGGCACTGGGCAGAGGGTCTTTATCCTCCATGGGGTCTCTCATCATGCCAGCTGCTTCCAGGACACAGCTGAGCCCAGCCTGCTCATGGCACCCACCCCACCTGGCCCCAGCTCACCTGGCTTGTTGCTACTTGTCAGGAGGCCGCAGGTCACCATCTTGGCTCTGGAGGTGCCTGTCTGGGGTAGAGCACACAAGGAGGGATACAAGGTTCCCATGCACTTTGATGGGCACTGAATGTCTTGAGATTCCCCCCAGGCAGCTCTTCCCCACCCCGGGCCCAGCCAGTGCTATGGCAGGACGCCCCAAAAGCTTCCAGGGCTTGGGCTCTGTGACCAGCATTGCCCTGACGGCGCCTCTCAGTCCAGCCAATGCTTGCTGCTAGACCCCGACCATGCCATTAAGGGGCCCCAGAGAGAAGGCAGGACTGGCCGGGTAGAACTGCAGCATGGCTCTGCCTGAGGGCAGCCATGTCTCTCCAGGCAGCTGGAAGCAGTACAAGCTTGCTGAGCAGAGCAAAAGCATCTTTTCCCAACCTGGGGAGCTCAGGGGAAGAATGTGGGGAGCCATCATGAGCTGGGGAAGAAGCTGCAGGAGAGAGACCAGGGCCCCCAGAAAAATTTGATGAGCCCAGAAAACGCTCAGAAGCGGAGGTTGGAAAACGCAGACAGGTATTTTATTGTCAGGGTGACATTCATGCATTTCTTTTGCTTGTTCTACACGTTTTGGGCCACAAGGTGATCCGAATACTTTCTGTGTTTTGGGGGTGAAATAACAATGAAATGGGGCATCCCCTCCCCCCGCCAGTTTTTTGTGCAAACACCAGCACGGTTTCATTTCTGGTTCCGTATTTGCCCTTTTGCCACCCACTGCAAGAGCCTCACCCAGCTCCTGATATAAAGAGAAGCTCTTGTTCTGATCTTTCTGTTTATTTTCAGTTTTGCAAAACCCAGGAGGGCTTACACAAGCAAACACGATAGCAATTCTGCTAGCAGGCTGGCCCGGTCCAGTGGCTCTTTTAGAGGAACAGGAGACTGGTCTAGGCCAGTCCTCTTCTCTTCTCCCTCCACAACAGCACAGGAACTGTTGCTTCCAGAAAATCCCTATGATAGTAGATCTACCTATCAGTGATATATATAACTATATAACTAACTGACATCAGATCTAGCTCTGTCTATGCATCTGTCTGTATCTAAAACGGCAGCGGTGGGTGCTGGGGCGCTGCCGGCCGGGCGAGGCGACAGGACGGGCTGGCGGAGCTCAGTGCACAGCAAGGGAGAAAGGGAAACCAGACTGGAGGAAAGGGGGGATCCAGGGGCTCAGCAGGGGAGGAACAGCAAGCAAACCGTCAAGCGGAGAGGAGAGGATGGGGGGATGCAAGGGGGGCAAGGAGAGAGAAAGCCCCTAAGCGGTGCCCCAACACCCGCTACCGCCGGGCAGGGCAGGGCGGGCAGGGGCGGCACGACGCGGAGGCAGGAGCCCCGACCCCCGCGCCCCGGTACCTGGTGCCGGCTTCGCAACAGCTGCGGAGCGGGCAGGCGGGCGGGGGTCTCCGCTTCTCCAGGGTGTCGTGATGGGCAGCCGATGGATTTTTTTTTCGCAGACCCCCCCCCAAAATGAAAATGTGTTTCAGACCCTGGTCCCAAGAACAGGCGAAAGGGTGGCGCACACACTTAAAACACGGATCAAGGCAGGCAAGGTGCTTTGGTAGATGTGATGTCTTTTAATAGTTGGAAAAAAGTACTTTGCAAGCTTTGCGGCACAAAGACCCTTCCTTGGCCACCAGTCCTGCACGAATGGATCGCAAACTTTCAAACTGCATTGTCTTTTAAAGGAGGAAAAATGGGGGAAGCCATGGCTTTTCCCCTGCAGGCTGGTAGGGGTGCTGCTTGCCCCCCTCCAACCACCCCTGCCCCGCACAACGGGGTGGGGGGAGGCTGCAGGTCAGGACTGGCCGTCAGTGTTTCCCAATGGGTCCAGGTACAAACAAGGGGGAGAACCACTGGCCTAGAGAAGCTGTGGAGTTGCCGCCCCTGGAGGTTTTTAAGAGGAGGCTGGACAGACCCTTGGCTGGGGCGGTTTAGGCAGGGCTCATCCTGGCCTGAGCAGGGGCTAGATCACCTTGTGGGTCGCCACCCAAAAGTGCGGTGCAGGAACATATGAAAGGGTTGCAAACAAACTTTACAAACTGTAAAGGAGAAAAACGTGGGAAATGGGGGCTTCTCCCTTGCAAGTTGGCAGAGTCCAGTCTGCGAGGGGCTGCTTGGGCCCCCCGCCCCATACACGCTATGCCCTTCCCCACACACTTTGAAGAGGAATCCATTTTTAACGTTTGTTTGTGACCCACTTTTGGGTCACGACCCATGGGTTCAGAAATGCTGATCTAGTCCAACCCCCTGCTCACAGCCAGGGCATCCCCAGCTAGGTAATCCCAGCCAAGGCTTTGCCGCACTCCTGCTGCTGGTCCTGGACCCCCTGGCCATGTAGAGGTTGGGGACCTGGGGGGTTGTAGGGCTGGTCAAGACTTTTCTGCTGTTTGCCACAGAAAATGGGGTGCCCTGAGTTTCATGAGAGAGCATCTGCTTTCCAAGGGAAACCTTGACACTGAAACACCGAAGCCCTGAAAACCGAGAGGTTCTGTTTGGAAATGATGGCAGCACTTCCGGGAGCTGCAGGTCAGGCGATGCAGGACACCCTTTTCCCCTCTGGGCTTGGCTGCTTTGCTGGAATATGTCTCCCATCCAATGTAGCAGGGTGCCACAGTACCCTGGGGTGCCTTTGAGAGCCTTTCCAGGAGTGTCACACAAATGTCATTGCCAATAGGCCTGCAAACGTGTGACACATGAGCAGGTGGAACCAGGGACACTCTGTAGAGGTGCAGGGACTGTTAGTTTGGACGACTCCCAGAACCTGGCAAGGGAAAAAGGGGGAGAGGAAGCAAGCAGGAGAGGAAGCTTGAGACTGGAGTAAGCAGGAGAAAGAGCAGCGTGCACATGGAACATGGTCAGCCGTACACAAGATGGGTGCACAGTAAAGCTGGAGATTGCTCATCCAGGACTGTGTGGATTGAAGGAGATGGACTCAGACCCGGGGGGCAACTGCAGGCCTAAATGCTTGGTTGGGGACACTGCCGGGGGTGTTGGGTGTTTGGAAATTAAGATGCTGAGTATGTATCCACACAGTTGTTGATGTTCCTTTATCTTTTACCTGTTCCTTCCCTTTGGCCCATTGGCTTGTGACCCTAACCTCTGCTGCTCTGTATAAAAGTGGTTACTCCCCCTTGTTTCTTGTGCCAGTTTTGGGGCTATGGGGCTGGCACACATGAATCACAAGCTAAACCTTGAGATTTCATACAGCGATTTGTGGTGTTAAAAGCATTCTGCCCTGTTGGGGGTCTTTCTCAGTTCTTTGCAACAGAAAAACTGCTTGATTATTTTGCTGTAGTCAAAAAATGAATTCAAACTAAGAGCACTAGCATTTCCCAAGGGGCACCTTGAGTCTGACAAATGGAGCCTCTAGTCTAAAAAGATTGAGAATCACCATTCTAGATGCTACCTAGGGCTGAGCAAGACTATTCTGTCGCTTGCTGTAGAATAAGGGTGCTCTGGGTTTCATGAGAAGCATCGGCTTTTCAAGGGAAACGACACCTCATTAAAAAAACGAAACCTCTGAAAACTGAGAAATTGTGTTTGGAAATAGCACTGCAATGCCTCTGGGAGCTTGGTGAGAAGTGTCACAGGAAAACATTTTTGCTTTGACTGATGATATATCTCAACGACCCCACAGTGGTGCGGTAAAACATGCACATCCACATAGGTGGTTCTCATACTGCTAGTGGGTTGGGTGTAGGGACCTCTGCCAAGGTCAGTTCATCTTTCACTTCTTCATTCAGTCCCTCATCAAGAGGAAGCCCTGGAGCAGAGAACAGATGCCATGAATTGCCCGGGATGTGGGTGGGGTTCGGGGTTCCAAGTCTAGGAGACCAGTGTCAAGGGTCACAATACTGGGAGTCCAAGAGCTGGCGCCAAGGGTTACAGTACTGGGCACCAGTCAGAGCCCAAGGTACCACACCAGGCCTTAGACAGGTTCAAGGCCAAAGCAAGGCATGGGTCGTACTAGGAGGTCCAAGATGGGGGCAAGGCCTGAAAACTCTGTTGCTGGGACAAGGCCCCAGGGAAAGTAGGAGGGTCTCTACAGCTCTCCCATCCAGGGCTTGTGGCCTCTATGGATCCCCCCAGGTGACCCCATTGGGAACCTGGTGAGAGGGCCCAGGTGGGGCTGGGGGTAGCATCTGGCTGACCCAGGGGTCCTGACAAAAGGGCAAGTTCACGATGCCCATTTCTTCTTGCCCCAACTCATCCCAGCCTGCTCACCTCACTGGGCATTTTGCCCTTGACATCTGTTTCACTCACTCCAAGCGCAGAAGCCAGGGCGGAGTCAAGGCCCCACGAGCCATTGGCGTTCTGAAGGGAGACCAGCTTTATCAGGGGAGATGCTTCTGGGGAGGTACAGGGACAAAAGGGGAAGGTTACCCCAGACCAGACAGAGCAGTGCCAAGGGACCTGACTTCTGCATTGGGCACTCAGCTCCCTTTAGCCTGTGAGAAGCCACTGAAATTAGGACCTCTCAGACAGCGACTGACACAGACCCATCCCCAATGACACCCCAGGGCACAGACAACCCTTTGAAGACACGTGTGGGCACATCAAGATATGGGCAGGAGGCGTGTGTGTCATCTGGGGGAGCAGAGTTAAGGTGCTTCAGGATGTGGTTTTCAGCACAGCTTTGACTTTCGATGTGCTGCTGGGGAGGGGGAGGCTTCCCCAGACTTCTTCCCTTAGGCCCCTTCTCTTGATGGCACAAGGCCTTCCACGCTCCCTCATCTCCCTCAAGCCCACATGCATGTTGGCACCTAGAATCCATCCTCGCACAGAGGATGCACTTAACCGTGCAAGCTAGGTGCTTCGATATGGAGGTGGTGCTGGGAAGTGGTACTAGGACCCCTTACATTCCTGTGCCACTGCCTGTGGCATCATCATCTTCTTGCACCTTGCCAGTTTCATTGTCTTTTTTTGTGGGGTGCCGCAGCTGCCGCGACTCCGGGAAAGGCTCTCAGGGACCATGTTCACTGCCCTTTGGTTTGCGCTATCAATCCTAGAGTAGGCTATCATGCAGTGTGGGACGCCTGAGATAAGGACACGGAGATGCGGGGGGCTGAGTGCCACAGTTGGGTGAGGGAGACTGGTACTCACCTATAGCTTGGGGGATGGGCTCAGGAAGGTAGTCCGCTTTTGATTGGAGCATTTTAGTCCTTTTCTGTTGCGGTCTACAGCTCTTTAGGCAGGGCATACTGGGGGCTGCCCCGAATCGCTGCAGACAGGGAGACCCCACTGCCATCATGGAGAAGACTGGAGCTATGGTCTGGTGGGGTCTGATCAGATAATTGCTTGATTACATCCAGCTGGTCCTGGGCTCATTACAACCATACGTGCTTGCAACTTTCATCCCGGTTACTGAAATATTTATATTTCTTTTCATTTGTGTATGTTTTGATGCTATCTAATTTTAGTATTTTTAGCAGAGAGTGGAGGAATGTGATGTGTAAGCCTGTCTGGATAGGGCAAGATATAAAGATCAGCACGATGCTGTTGCTGCTGCTGAATAATAGTAATAATAGTAGTTCATTAGCTGTTATGGGGTACTGTAACCCAGGTAATTAGAGTCTTGTTAACTTGACGTTAGAAGTGTCCTCATGAAATTTGCTGATGGCACTAAGCTGTCGGGTATTGCCAATGTGGAAGAGATCCAGATTATTATGCAGGGAGATTTTGATATCTTTTGGAATGGAGCCTAAGGAAGGGAATGAAGTTTAACAGTGCAAAGTCATACACGGAGGGACCAAGAACAACAACTTGACACGTAGGGCTGGAGGCACGTGAACTGGGGGTAACAGAACGTAGGACTTTGGTATTGTCAGGGCAGACTCCATTGCTGCTGTTGTCTGACTCCATTACTTGTTGTTAGGGGTTTAGGCACTACCAGTCACATCAGGCTCCCTCAGTTTGGATGGCCTGTGAAGGCACCGCCAGGATACCACCTGTGATACTTTGCCCCTAATGACCTCACTAGTACAAGATACTCCAGGCCTTTGTTCTTAGTGACAAGGAGCACAGCCAAGTTTGTTATCCACAAATAGATACTAGCATCCATGACTAACCCATAC